ATCCCCGTTCATTCATCAGTGTTGTGTCTAGATTTCAGAGTGTGCCAGCAGCTTCTGTCTTTGCTTGAGGAAGTAAATTTGAATTATGGGCATAGTGTAGAAAGAGAAGAGCCGGTGTGAAGGAAGATCAGATGTAAGACTTGTGAGTAAGACTTTCTTGGACCTTCCATTGCAATCCATGTGCCTACTAAATTCAGTTGAGGCAGTGACCTTCGCTGATTTTCTGAAGAGCTGAATCCTGCCCAAATTCCTAATCTCATCACATGAGACAAGAAAAATTAGTTAAAATATTTCATCTATTATAAAACACCTTCCAGAAAATTTCCCATTGGTCTAGAGCCATGTTCCCATCCAGTGATGTTCCAGTGTGTAAGAGCACGTGACAGTCAATTCTCACTGTCAACCTGACTGGATGTAGGGTCACTTGGGAGACAAGTGGGGCACATCTCTGGGTGTGTCTGGAAGGGCATTTCCTAAGAAGGGTAAAAAAAGAGAAACACTCAGCCTGAGTAGTGCCATCCCACGGGCTGGAGTTCTGGACAGTAAAGACGAAAAGGGGACAAATGGCAGAGGCTGGCATGTTCACACTCTCTGTTTTCTGGCCTCCATGGTAACTCTTCTAATAGCTGGACAGAACACTCTAAAACCAAGAGCTCAAATAAAGTTCTTCTGTCTGCCATTTTCACCATAACTGTGAGAAAAAGTAACCAATACAGATGGAAAAACTTAAAACCGTATGGAATTGGTCTTACTATTTAACAGTAATTCAGAGTTGTCCCGGATCTAGAAGTTGAATGTGTAGACTAACAATAATAATTTTTCAATATGCGTTTGAATGTCATTTGAGTGTCATGAAATAATTTTGTTTCAAGAACTCTTGCCAAGGCTCCAGATACTGAGAATCTATAAGCATTTCTACTGAATAAAAACTTAACATTTTTTTTCACATTCGAAATTAAAAAAACAAAAACCCTGCATGCCACGGTGAAAGGAATGATCCTCAAGTGCCGGCCAACACTGACTCCCCATCTTTTGGCTGTAAGCCCTTCTCTGGAGATGTACACAGATGGCTCTGGGCTCAACAAGCCATGACTTTCTTGTGAGATAGAATTGGAGGCCTGCCATTCAGACCCAGGAGGAAACAAAGTCGGACGGGATGATGTGCTAATTAATGTGGCTGTCGAGGAATTTTCAGTGTTTTTATTTACTTCCTCTAACTTCCTTTCAAAGGTGGCTTAAAGAGAAAATTACACATTACCAAATTTAGCTAATAGACTTTCTGTTGCTGCGGAAAAAACATCTGGGGTTCAGTCCCGGGGGGGTTGGCTCTGTGGCCTTTGGATTTGTGGCGTGGGGCATCATATCAGCAAGAGCCTGGTGCAGCACAGCTGTTCACCTCTGGCCAGGAAGTGAGAGGAAGAAATCGAGGACCCACAACCCTCTCCTTGAGGGCATGACTCCCGTGGCTCAAAACCTCCCATTAGGCCCCACCTTTTAAAGATTCCACCACCTCCCCAGAGTGCCAGGCTGATGATAAAGTCCCTACTACATGAGCCTTTGGGGAACACTCAAGAATCACAGACATGCTTTCTCGTGATACCCGTACCAACTGATAGAGGGAATAGAGAAGAAAAAGATGACTTCCTTAAACACGTGAAACACTGCAATGCCTGCTGGGGCTCAGGGATGACTCAGTCAGGAAAGTGTATGCTGTTCGAGATGAAGACCCCTGAGTTCCAGCCCATGAACCCATGAGAAGTTTAGCATGGTGGTGTGAGCCTGTAATACCAGCAGTGCATAGTGGTGTGAGCCTGTAACACCAGCACTGCGTGGCGGTGTGAGCCTGTAACACCAGCACTGCGTGTGGTGTGAGCCTATGATGTCAGAATTGCATGGTGGTGTGAGCCTGTAACACCAGCACTGCATGGCGGTATGAGCCTGTAACACCAGCACTGGGAGATGGTGACAGCAGGATGCCTAGAGCTCTTCAGCCGGTCATTTTGCCTAATCAGTAAGCTCCAGGCCAACGAAGAGACTTTGCTTTAGAAAATCAAAGTAGTCAATGCTGAGGTTGATGTCTGTCCCCCATAAGCACATGCACACAAGCGCGCGCGCGCATGCGCGCGCACACACACACACACACACACACACACACACACACACACACACGAGTGTGCGATCCTTCAGGCGTCCTCACTAAAGATATCTAAAAGTCTGGTTTCTTGCTACTGAACGATAGTCATCACTATTCATTATCACTTTATTTCTCCATTTCTGTGAGTCTTGGCTTCAGAGAGCCACGTGTGTTTGCCCCAGCGAGTTGTCCTAGGCTGAAGCAAACCCCTGATCTAGGCCTCACTGAGTCTCTTCTGACTTTGTGCCCACAGGCTCATGCGGGAGCAGAAAGTACAGACAGGATCACTTGTTCTAGTTTGGATGGCTTTTCAGGGGATGGAATGGTCCCATTGTCCAGCTCTCTCTCTTGCTCTCTCCCTCTCTCTCTCCCTCTTTCTTCCCCCCCCCTGCTCTCTCTCCCTCCCTCACCCTCTCTCTCTCTCTCTCTCTCTCTCATACATACATATATTCAGAGGGAGGGAGGAAGAGAAATATGCTCGCCCTTATAGCAATTGTTTCTCATCTGCTTCCCAAAGGAAATCAGCCCACAGTAAATACATCTGATCGGGTGTGTCTCTCCTAAATCCCTTTTGTTGAAACTAATCCTCAAGGTGATGGGATTAGGTGGACTCTTTGAGCGCTAAATGGGCGCTAAGCAGATGTGTTGGCTAATTTCCACTTGGTTGTGACAAAATGCCTTGTGAGAGCTGCTTAAGGAAGGACGGCTTTGTTTTGGCCAACATTTGAAGGGCAGAGGAAGTGTGGGGGAGAGAGAGACTGTACCTGTGACCACGGGAGCATGAGACAGCTGGTCACCTGACTGCTGGTCACACTGCTCTGCAGCCAGCAAGCAGCGAGAGATGGATGTCGATATCTGCCTCCTCCTTTCCTTCTTTTTATTCAGACCTGGACCCAAATTTATGGGATGGAGCCATCTCCATTCAGGGCACATCTTCCCCCTTGGAAACACCTGCACAGACACATCCAGAGTGTCTCCTAGGGGATTCCAAAGTCAGCTCAGCTGACAACGAAGAGGAACGATCACAAGAACGCTGCACCATATTTGGGATCAATGTTTATATAAAACAGATCCCAGAGAGTCTTCTGACCGTCTGCCCGAGAAGATACAGCAAAGCAACTCAGTTTATTAGGCCAGCACAGCGATTCTTTAGACGAAATGGCTTGTACTGCACACTGGACAATCTGAGTCCAATCCCCAGAACCCATGTGTGAAGGAGAGAACTGACTCCCAAAAGTTGTTCTCTTACCTTCCCACATGCACCATGACACATGTACGTGCACAGTGCAAATATATGCACACACACACACACATACACACACTACATATGCACATTATATACGTACACGCACTATATACACACACTACACATACACACTGTGTATACACATATAACATACACTACATACATACACAATACATATAACAATTATAAATATATAAAAAAGAGATGTGGTCTATGGATTGGAAAGGGGGCCCCTACTACATACCAAATTCACTGGTGCTTCAATTTGAAGACTTCCTCATTTCCAGAACTTCCAGGCAGCTATTTCTGTTGTTTGTAAACCACTCCTATTGGGATGTTTCATTATACTTATAGCACAAAGGGACTGAGTATCAACTCAACAGCAAGCCTTGATTCATGCAAACACTTCATCATTTAACCTTCCTTGTCCTATATTAGCTTAGAACAAATTCCATGCTATAAATTTTAATCTGTGAGCATACCAGGTTGTTTTTTCCTCCTGTCAACACTTCAAGACTCTCTGAGGAAATGCATGATCAGGGTTTAAATAGAATCTGTGTAGCGGGTAAAGTGCCCTGTTGCCCAAGCTTCCAACCCAAGTTAGACCCCGGTTGCTTTTTAAAAATTTTTATTTTGTGATTTTTTTTTTGTTGTGTGTGTGTGTGTGTGTGTGTGTGTGTGTGTGTGTGAGAGAGAGAGAGAGAGAGAGAGAGAGAGAGAGAGAGAGAGAGAGAGAGAAAGGATGCATGAGAGGCAGCCTGGGTATATATGCACCGCATACAGACAGGTGCCCATGGAAACCGAAAAGGGCCTCTGAACCTCTGGAACTGGAGTCACAGGCAGCTGTGAGCCAGATGTGGGAGATGGGATCTGAACTTTCGTCCTCTGCGGGAGCAGCAAGTGTCCTTAGCCACTGAGCTGTCGTTCTACCCCTCCAGGTGTTTCAAATTAATTAATTGATCAGTCAGTTAATTATTCAGTGGTGCTGGAGATGGAACCTGGGACCTTATGCATTTAGAGAAGAACTCATCCCCAGACCCCAAACTTCCCTTAAATGAAACTAAGATTTCTATGTGGTTCTTACGTTTTAAGTTAGTCATAATTCCTTATACCATCGGCCAGTACTTAATTTGTTCGAATCGGTATCTAATAAAGTCTCATACACTGGAAAGGACTGGTAGGTCTTTCATTTCCTTTTGATCTATACTTTCTGTCTCTCCTTCATTAGACAGTCTTTATATAATATGCTTTTTAAAATTATTGCACTTTAGGTCTCAGTCATATGAATGTAAACATGTTACAATAATGGTTGTCTTGGGATGTTTGTATGAACGAGGCATTTTTGGAAGTACTTTGCATATATTATTTCAACTTGACTATTTTTGGGGCTGAGAATTGAACCCAGGGCTTCCTGTTTTCTAAGCATGCACCTGAGCATCGAGTTGCCTACTTTGCCTCTTCCATCTCACTTAATCTAGACCAGAACCCACTGAGCTGGTTGTCAATTTCATCTTATAGACAGACAGAAAGCCAAGGGTTAACAAGGTGAATTCAATTCCCTAGGAACACACAGTTAATCAGAAGCCAAGCAGAGTTTGGAGACCACATCATTCCTACTCCAAAGTCCATGCCCTTAACCTGCAGCCTCGACACCAGAGAAAACGCATCCCGAGAGGTTAATAGAGCGCTACGCTGTTCTCGGCATTTCATGGACGTTTTTGAAATATTTCTTAAGCTAACAAGGGAAACCGGATGATATCATAAAACAGCCACCCCGCCAAGCTAAACCCACAGAGACCTATTGATCAGCCGGTCTGTGGAACTGGGTGGGAGTTGGGTAAAATGGCAGGTAAGCCAGGTATGGTCACTGTCTCCTACTCACCACCCGGAGACTGTAGACAGAAGACTCTGCTGAGGTGAGTTAGAGCAGGCAGCAGGCTCTTCCACTTAGTGTGAGGGGAAGGGATCCCTGAGTAGGGTGTTAATAGACTGTGAAGCTCACGGCAGCTTCTGTTCCTTCCAGAACCCAATGGCATGGCATGTAGGCAGATGAACACCCAGACCTTACCATGCCCTGGCTGTCTTTCTTGGCAGAACCCCAGTGGGAAGCAGATTGTCCAAACATGGAAACTGCCAGCATCTCTTCGCCAATGCCTTTATTTAAAAGCTCAGTGTGTTCTTTGAATCAGTAGTAGCTAGGGTTCCTTTGACTCCTGCTGGGTCTCTGTCGCTAACACACGGATATAAGGCATCCTTCAGCTTGGCCCTGGTCAGGCACTTGTGGGTTCTGTCTTGGCAGCAGGGCCTAGGGTCCCAAGAAGACCAGCCCGGAGCATCGCTGCTTGCTGGGATTACAGTCCAGTGTTGCAGGGACCGAGATCACTGTAGGAGGCTCACAGCCTGTGGTTAGCTGCAAACCCATCTTAGAGTTCCCAAAGTCTGCTAAGGTAAGAGATCATATACTCTTTTCCAGACCTTGGGAGAAAGCTACTGACTTCCATGCTTGCTGCTCTGCCTTTATGACCCTAAGCAAGAAGTGTTGTTGAGCATTGATGTTTTGTTCCTATTTAGTCCCGTCTGCAGCAGAAACTCAACCCTCGGGTTGTTGACCCTCTGCTCTAAGCCTAATGTTCTTTCTGTTTCCTCGTGTACCCCCGAAATGACGGTGTTCTTAAGAAAGTCAAATAGCTTTGAACATGGATTAGAACAGTGATTTTTCTACCTTCCCAATGCTGCAACCCTTTAATACGGTTCCTCGTGTCATGATAACCCCAACCATATGATTATTTTTGTTGCTACTTCCTAACTATAATTTTGCTGTTGTGAATTGTGATATAAATATCTGTGTTTTTGATGTTCTTAGGTGACCCACCTGTGAAAAGGTCATTTTTTCCCCCAAAGGGCTTGTGACCCACGGGTTGAAAACCACTGAATTAGAGAAAGGCCTAATCTGAGAAATAACCTACCACTTATTCCAGCCCATAAACTGTATACAGCAACAGATTAAAAAGCCAAAACCAAGATGCATTCATTTTCAACGTTAGCAGGGACTCATCACCAGGCAGCAACGTGGAGGTGATAAGTCCACAGGTGCTAATTCTGAAAATGCTAGGATAATCCCAAAGCCAATTCTGTGCTTCTACCTCTGATGACATTTAAACATTGTCAGCACTGTTTCTTGTGATCAATCAGAGTATAGTATATATCATATAATATATATATCAGTATATAGTATGTGGTAGTTGTGGCTGTGATGCTTTGGATGCCTCGGCTCTCCTCCCATAAGCACAGTAGAACTGCAGTTCCAGAACTCTGGAAGGATGTGTGGTTCACTTTAAGACACCAGGGAATTGGGATCCAGCTCTATTGGTAGAGTGCTTGACCAGCATCTCTGAAGTCATGCGATTGACCTCCGATACCACATAAACCAGGCATGGTGGGGCAAGGCTGTAATCCCAGCACATGGGAGGTGGATTAAAAGTTCAAGATCACCTTCTGCTACATAGCGAGTCCCAGGCTAGTCTTGGGTAAATGAGACCCTGCGTCAAGATTAGGGAGCAGGGATTAGCGAGCTGGGAAATGGTTTAGGGTAAAATGAGGATCTGAGTTGATCCCGAGCACCCATATAAAAAGTCAGGCACATATAAAAGAGAACTTTAGTTCTACGCCCTCCTATGCCTTATATTCTACAAAAATGGACACATATTTGCTGTAGGAACTTGATGAGACTGAACCAGTATCCTATTCAGAAAAGGGATGTGGCGCCTAACGGTGCCAAAGTGATGTTTGAGCACCCTCTGCTGGATGAATTAGGTATGTCTCAGGTAACTACAAGAGACTGCTGTCAATATGATTTGGGGGTGGAGGTAGGGGCACAACTTATACCTTTTTAAATATAAGCTCCGGAGAAGATTTTATTTAAAATCTGCACCAAAAGAATTGTATTCTTTAAACAAATGCCCTCTGACTCACCATCCATGTACCAGAAGTATTTGTCTTTTACAGACCCCAAAGAAAATGAAATTTATGTGCATAGTCATTAACAGACACAGTTCACATCTTAAAATATCTAAGACACATTGGAAAACAAGGAGACTATATACTATGCTTTTCTCCTTCACAACACCCCTGCTACCCAACGCAAATATATATATATATATATATATATATATATATATATATATATATACACATCAGACTATACTTTTTCTACAATATTTTTCAATTTATCTTCCAAATCTCAGTCCAGATTCTGCCGGCCCTGTTCATTCACACACAAAGCCGTGCTGCAGACACAGTGTGGATAACAGGAAGTCCGTTTTATCAGCAGAAGTATCACCTCTGTCTTCAGGGAGCCTATAGACTGCCACCCAGGGAGGAAATCAGGCGGTGTTTGGCGTAAACTTTGAGAAGAAGCGACTCTCTGTGAAGATGTGACCTAATTGGGAAGGTAATCGGAAAGCAGGACTTGCTCAGTGGTTTGCAACACTGGCACTTGGGACACTGAGGAAGGAAGACACCAAGCCCAAAGTCCTGTTAGGATGTATAGTGAGTTGCTTGGTTACACAACAAGATTTCGACTCAGCAAGCAAAGAAGGGAAGGGAAGAGAAGAGAAGTGGAGGAAAGGGAAGGGAGGAGAAGGAAAGGAAATGGGAAGAGCAGTGGGGAAGAGGGAAGGCCAAGGGTGCCATGAACTCTCAACACCAATGGGAACCAGGTGTTCAATGAATGTGTGTTAGGTTTTTATACCAGTTGTCCAGGGACGATGGAATATTGCAACTTACTTTTCTTCTTTTTAAATTTTACTATTGTTATTTTATGCGTTTCAGCGTTTGTCTGCATGTACATCGCTAGCTCCGGCTGCAGGGAATGTATTGCCTTCTCTGGCCTCTACAGGCAAGCAGGCACAAGACAAATATGACATATTTTGACACCATTAGGAGGTAGAGCCTAAATGGAGAAACTGGGTTGTTGGGAGAAGACCTTGAGTTGAAACCCAGCCCCACTGCCTGTCCCCTTTCGCCTTCCTACCAAGATGTGAACAAGCAGCCTCCCCGCTGCTGCTACCACAGCCACAAGCTGCTCCAACTGCCATGCCTTCCCTTCATATATGGACAGAACTCTCACACTGTGAACCTAAATAGACCCGCCTCTCTTTGGCTGCTTATTTTCAGGTCATTGAGAGACGAACAATGAGAAAAGTGGCTAACACAATAGGTAAAAATCTACTAGAGACCGAGTGCCCTTAATCAGAAAACACAAACCTCCGGCTCTCCAAAGTCTGACCCTTTTGAGCATTGTTGGGACACTACAAGTAGAAAACTCCACTCCTGACCACACATGAGAGGCCACAGACGAATCACAAACACAGATATGCTAAAATGATGTCTAAAAATGTCTTTATGCTATGTGTATGAGGTAAGTATGAAACGTAATTTGAACTTTGTGTTTTGACTTGGATCCCTTGCACCCATAACCTATCTTACTATGTGAATCCAGGTTTTCCCAAGTCCCAAATCAAAACCAAACCCCAAACCACAGTGGTCCTGAGCATTGTGACTAAGGGACGCCCAACCTGTGAGTTGTTTACTGCCACGGGGCAGTCAATGCATTTTAGAGCCTACTCACCACTTGGCTGAAACATTCCTAATAACTGAACCCCAGGAATTTCATGTGGGTTTCCACATGGACAGAATGGGAGTGGGGCAGACTGACTGAAGCAATGCCGTGTTTCTAGCTAAGGCCTGTGTGAGCTTTTGTGTTTGTTATCACTATGGCAAAACACAGAAGATAATCAACTGTTTCAAAGGACTTATTTCCTTTCATAGTTTCCCAGGAAAAATATAGATATGATCTCCCTGTTAATATTTTCAGTGGTTGCCGTCTCTTTTGCTCTGGGCAGGTGAAGGTAACAGTTGGTAACAGCCGTGGCGGGAAGAGAGAAACAGTTTTCCTTCTACAGCTCTCACAGATGCAGAGACAAGTGAAAGCAGCACGAGGTCAAAGGTCAAAGGTCAAAGGTCACACCGCTAGGCTAGCACAACACCACTCATCCTCAGCCCTCTAGATTGTGAGCAGGAGAGTCACTGTGAGTTTGAGGTCAGTCCGAGCTACAGAATGAGACCCTGTTTTTTAAAAAGAAAATATTTCTTTCAATGCTGTGCACTTAATTATATAAAGAGTTTGCTGTTGCTGTTGTTAGGATCCAGCTAGGAACTTTTCCATCTGTCTGGTGTTAATTAGTTGTTTTTAAACACTAATTGGGAAATGGCGCATTTTGGTTGTTTTATAAATAGAGTAAAAAACCCACTGAAACTGTTGGGAAAGTTTAAACAAGTAAAGCAATTCCATGTCCCTGCTTGACACCAGTTTGTCCCAGAGGTGACACAACTGTATAGTTTTTGACAACACTGGAAATCTATATATATATGAGACAAAATCCTACTGGCTAACTTGGAACTCACTATGTAAACCAAGCTAGGTTTGAACACACAGAGATCTGCCTCTGCCTCGTGAGTGTGGGGCTAAAGGCACACACCCCAACACCCGGCCTTCTCCCAGTACTCTCTCTAAGGGAGGAAATCCTTTCAGAAGCAACTGTCTTCACTTATTAATAGGGTTGCTCCCTGAACCTGGAGTGTGCATGTGTGTGTGTGTGTGTGTGTGTGTGTTTAGATACCAATTAGTATAGACCTCAACAGTTAAGGGCTTCCTTCAACTTCCCACTTAAGTGGCTAGTCACAGGTCTTCTGGGCCTCTCATACTTGTGAACAACTGGCTGTAAAGTGTGGGGGGGGGTTCCCATGATCTCTTCAAAACCATAATTTATTACACTGGTTCTCAACCTGTGGGTCATGACCACTTTTCGGGGGGGGGGTTAAACGACCATTTCACAGGGGTCACATATCAGATATCCTTGCATATCAGATATTTACATTACAATTCATAACAATAGCAAAATTACAGTTATGAAGTAGCAGTGAACTAATTTTATGTTTGGGGGTCACCACGACAGGAGGAACTGTATTAAGGGGTCACAGCACTGGGGAGGTTGAGAACCACTGATTTATTAGAGTGGTTTATGGAACTTGAGAATATGCTTTCTGCTTTCATCTATTGGTTTATTACAAAAGATGTAGACAGATAGACAGATAGATAGATGACAGGTATATATACACATAAATGATAGTTAGGTACATAGAAGATAGATAGAAGGATGGATAGATAGATGATAGATAGATGATAGATAGAGAGAGAGAGATAGATAGATAGATAGATAGATAGATAGATAGATAGATAGATAGAGAAATGAACAGAGATTACAAAACACCTGGCAGAAGCTACTCAAGGGAGGGGTGTTTATTTCATCTCCCCATTTCAGAGGTTTAAGAACTGTTCAGCTCAACATCCAGGAAGCAGAACAACAACAGGAAGAGGCAGGGCGAGGCATGTCTATCCAAGACACACTCCGAGTGACCTGCTTTCTCCAGCCAGAACCCACCTGACAGATTCCCCTATCCCCATAATCTGAGTCTGTGAAAGCATCAAAGCCTTTACATGGCCAGAGACCTCATGATATCTCTCAGGGGTCACCCTTGGTGATGTGTACCCCCATTCCCTCACATCCCACCCCATCCCAAAGGTGATCTTTACTGATCAAGGTGTTTCTCAATGCAGTCGACAGACAATAAGATTAACCACCATAGTAGGAGGAAATGGATTGCCAAACAAAGGCCTCCTAGAACGCAGTCCAGAGGGGTCCCAAGGACAGGAGCTCCTGCCACCATGGGGTTGGATGTGCCATGCTCCTGCCACACAGATGTCTCCAACAACCAGAATCTTAGGGATGTTTGTAGAGGTTTTATAACATAGGTGTGACCCATAATTAACTCGGTGTCTGGCCCTTTCTTTTCTCCCATGAGGATAGGAACAGGACTGAATGTTCCAAGCTTGTAATCATGGTCTTTCTGTTGAGTGGCCCCATCCAAAGATCAAGCAAAAGTCAGCCGTGAAAACAAAAACTACGTATGTCACTATGGAAATTCCAAACCATTAGGAGCTGTTTCTGAAACTAGAATTAAAAACAAAATGTTTGAACAAAAGTTCTCCCAGCACCCTAACTACTCCAAAAACTGCAAAGATTTTAGAAATGTATATTCCTAATTATATGAAATAATTAGGTTTATAAATAAGATTTTTTTTGTGTGGGGTTAGTGAAGGTTTTGAGACAAGATTTCTTTGTATAGCCCTGGCTGTCTTGGAACTGGCTCTGCAGACCAGGCTGTTCTGAAACTCCCAGAGGTCCACCTGCCTTTGCCTCCCAAGTGCTGGGATTAAAGGTGTGTGCCACCACCGCCTGGCTATGACAGATATTTTAAGTATGATGGTAAAGACCAAATGTTAAGAAACACTGAATTTGTACTGCTGGCTGCACTCTCCTGGCTGCCCGCCTGCTGCCCCTTGCTGTGAACTCAAACTGCAGCATTGAAACATCCTCCTCAGTGCGGAGACAGCTCTCTTATCCCATTGTTTTTTTTGTTTGTTTGTTTGTTTTGAAAAGGAAGAAATACTGAATATAAATTACTAAACTGCTGACTCTCAGATATTCATCAGTTTTGATTTTAAATTTTTTTTAAAGGAAGGAAAGTTATTCGGCGATCCATAAGGATCGAACTGTATCATATAAGAAGATATATATTGCTTTCTTTCTCTGTACTTGTAGAGCTTGATTATGTGACATGGGGAGTTTCGTTCCTGGTCTTGGTGTTTGAAGGCCCATCCCTAGTTGAGGCACTACTGCAGCTGACAGCGGCTGGGAGAGGGAGAGCCAGCTTTCTATGAGGGTGTGACCCCTGGTAGGTCAACCATGACCAGGATACTGTCCCATTCTCAAGGGTATGTATGTATGAGTCTGTCGCTAGAGGCACTTGCATACAGGCCTTAAAAACTGTAGACATGAATTGGGTGGGTAAGGTTTGTGTGAATATGATCAAGATAACATTAAATGCAATTTTCAAGGAATAACAGTATTATTTTTTTTAAAAAAATGCTGCTGCCTCCTATGCCTTCAGAAGTTTATTTAGCTTTTCTTAAGCTTCACATTCCTACCTGTAAATTCTAGTGCTATTATATGATCCTCATAGGGTCAATAAAATGACTTAAAGTTTTAGTACAGTACACATAGGTATCCTTCAACAGCCACCAGTATTAATTCCCAATTTTCTCTAACATTTCTGGCATATTTAGGGGTTTAACTTTCCTTTATAATTGCTATATTTCAAGAATGTTATCTATGTCACTTTAAATTTTCAAGAGTATTAGAATCAGTTGTGTATGGTATGAAAAGAAATGGTATGATTTGAAGGATTTTTATAATAAAGTTTATTTATTTATTTATTTATTTTACATAGAAGACACTCCTAGTACCTCAGAATGTTCTGATTTGGAAACAGGGCTACTGAAGACACACACAGCTAGTTAGGTTGAGACGAGGTCTTAAGAAGGTGCTGCTGTCTCTTATATGACTAGTATCGTACAAAGAGATGACAAGCACTCATGGGGAAGTGCTGGCAGATGGCTACTTCTTTTAGGGGAGCATTTTTTTTCAAACCACCATAGGTACTTTGTATTTATATTGTACTATCAAACTAGTACAATAATAGTAAATATTGTAAATAATAGTAAATATAGTAAATATCTAACTTATTAAATGAATCCCCAAATGTTGCATGATGAGCATCCCCACATGCTCACACTGTGAATAGACTGCACTATTTAAATAAAATCAATCATAGGTCTAGAGGCGGAGCACCCAACCAGTTGACCAGAAATAACAATAGAGAGTGAGGGGAAGACTGGAGATCGGAGAGAGAGGCACAGGGAAGACATGTGGTTGGAGGAGTTTTCATTTCAGATGGCATAGAAGACAGTCCTCTTTATGGGACAGCAGGGAAGGAGGACGGAGCTGGGTGCTTTCTCTGTCTCTCTGAGCTGGTAGGTTTTCACCCTAGCATCTGGCTCTCAGGTCTTAATTGGTAAAATACAACGATGTAGACTTAGTTAAAAAAAAAAAAAAACATTTGCCCCAGCCAGGCGGTGGTGCGCATGCTTTTAATCCCAGCACTCGGGAGGCAGAGGCAGGCGGATCTCTGTGAGTTTGAGGCCAGCCTGGTCTACAAGAGTTAGTTCCAGGACAGGCTCCAAAGCTACAGAGAAACCCTGTCTCAAAAAAAAAAAAGCAAAAAATAAAACAAAAAACCAAAAACATTTGTTCCCCTACATGGAGGCAGCTGAGGCTGCTGCAGAGACAATGGCAGCGGGAGGTGAAGGCCCCAGGGCCACAGCCTCAGTAGCAAGGCAGCGAAGGCTATGGAGGAGTAGTCAGCATCTGAGGCAGCCATCAGTTCAGGTGCAGCCCCTGTGCCGCAGATAAAACAACACCCGGAAGTTATGCTTTGCATTTCCCTGTGTCTCATCTCTTTGCCTATTTTTTTTGTATCTCACAATGCAAAGTAACACGTGTGATGATTCATAAACAGGTATGTCTAAATGTGTATGGACAATCTTTGAATCTAAATTAGGAAAAGTACACTTGATTTTTATGTTTGTTTTTAGGGACAGGATCTCAGGTAGCTGGGGCTAGCCTCAAATTCTGTTGCTGATGGGAGCCTTGAAATATTGATCCACCTGCCTCCACTTCCCACGTGCTGGATTACAGGCATGTACACTATACCCAGATGGTATATATACTATTTTTAAAATGTTTGAAGTTGTACCCAGTGACATATGCCTATAATTCCAGTATTCAGTGTAAGTGAGGGTGCCCTGAAGCCACCAAACCAGACCACTCCTTGAGTAGAAAGAAAGTTTTATTGGGTATCCAACTACTAAGGCTATCTCTCTCTGGGGTAGTGGGGAGGGCAGAAAGAAGTCTGAAAAGCAAGCAGATTTTCTCTAACAGTCGTCAGAGTTGGGCCTTTGAGCTGACACGGGCTGTCCAGCTCACCTTGGGAATTAGATGCCCTGCCTGAGGTAGTTGATTGTGGGAGGTTCAGGGAAATAAAATCCCACCTCATGAGATACCTGAGGAACGTTGAGTTTAGGTTTACCCAGTAACAATCCTGCTTACCCGGTCAGCGTTCTTTTGTTTAGGACACTGTCACCAGCACTGCCATTTTGGGGGGACCCACTTTGGATCAAATACTCAGGAGCACAGTAGTAGGACCTAGAGCTCAAAGCCAGCATATGTGTGCTACAGAAGACCCTGTCTTCACACACGCGCGCGCGCACACACACACACACACACACACACACACACACACACACACACACCACAGAGCCCAAGTTGGGGTGTGTGTAGGAAATCATGTTGGAAGTTATTTGTAGAAGTACTTTGAGGCCTATGACAACTGCTTCTTGGTTTGTGTCTCCCAGGCCCCAGGGCTATACTAACCCAGGATTTCCTTAATCCAATTTCAGAATTTGACTGTTTCTAGGCCACAGGATCAGACAAAGCTGACCGAAGCTGCAGGTTTATTTTTGGTGCCTTTTTATTCCTGTGTGACTGCCCTTTGTTGTCTCAGTCCTGTGTGCCTTCCAGGCTCCTGTGCCCTAGCCCAGATGTCCACTTTGTCCTCCACAGAGAGGAGTCGTGGGTAGCATCATTCGGTGTGCTTAGCTCCCCACCCCACTACCAGCAAAGAGCCCAGTTCCTCACCTTTGTCCATTTCTATTCCTATCGTCTCATTCATGGTTGTTCCTCATTGTTGTTGTTTGATATTGGCAAGGAGATTTTTTTTGGATTTTTTTAAAAATTGTATCCAACTAGAGAATGGACCTTATCTACATAATCTACCTTTATCAAAAACACAGTCAAAATACATTTAGTGGCAGACTTGGTTCCAGATTCTTGGCCTTTTGTCCAGAGAACTAAAAATAAGGGTTAACACAAATTGCAAAGTAGCAAAATAATTTTTTGAAGTAAATTGATAATATATACTAAATATGACTGAGACCACTTTGGCTTTGATTATTGTTTTGGGCTTTCTTTTTATATAGTACAAGAGATATTTATTTACTAAATAGGGTGGTTCTCTGTTCTGATTGACAGATTATGTAACTTTTTCCCCCTTACTGTGCATGTCCTTTCTCACAATGCATATGATTTTACCTATAGGCATACTTAATTATTCATAAGCACAAAATGGTTGTTGTGGAATATTAGTTAAAGATATGTTACATTCCTTTATGCTGTGGAACATCACTTGTTTAGTGATGCAAAAATGTATCGCGTTCTTTTTATGTTGCATTTGTTTAACTCTGTAAAGCTGTGTTACTTTGCCAGCCTAAAACACCTGATTGGTCTAATAAAGAGTTAAATGGCCAATAGTTGGGCAGGAGAGAGAAATAGGTGGGGTTGCCAGGCAGAATAAATAAGAGAAGAGAGAAGAGGAGTAGGAAAAAGGAAAGAGAGGAGGATGCCAGGGACCAGCCACCCAGCCAGACAGCAAGCAACGAAGTAAGAAGGAAAGAGAGGGATATAGAATAGAGAAAGCTAAAAGCCCAGAGGCAAAAAGTAGATGGGATATTTAAGTTAAGAAAAGCTGGCTAGAAACAAACCAAGCTAAGGCCAGGCATTCATAAGTAAGAATAAGTCTCCGTGGATTTATTTGGGAGCTGGGTGATGGGCACCCAAAGAGCAAAGAGTGAAAATAACCAACTACAGATGGTAAGTAGGAGAGTCTCCCTAAAAGTTCACTTTTGGAACAGTTTTGCCTCAATGGGTGTGCACCCTAAGCCAGTTCAAGCTGAATCCTCAGTGTTTTCATGATTTCTACCCTGATACATTGGGAATATTCACAAACAGAAACTATCCGAATCGGATTGTTGTAGGGGTAGAAAAACTTACATGGAGGTGTGTCTAGTCTGGGGCAGGTGGGGTCTGAGGAAGCTCTGAGGTTGACTAGGGCAATGTTTGGAGAAGGTGCGGTAAATGCAGGTAAAGAAACTGGGCCGACACCTGGTATTAACCCATTTGCTTGCATGCCCCTATCCCTATAGGATCAACTCCCAGTCTCTGGTAACATCTATTCTGCTCGGAATTTAGATACGATTAACCATTTTAGACCCCAAACACAAGTGAGATTGAACCTGCTGCTAAAATGTCTTCCCTAAGAGAGACACAAACATCTCCTCCTCCCAAAATACTAACAAACCAACAAACTAAGGACCTGGTCCATCTGCGTTTACTCTGAGGAATCAGTGAGGTTATTAGGCTTGCTTACAGAGCAATGAGTGAGAGATTATGGGCTGGAGAGTGGGTGGCCTTATTACAGCCGCACTAGAAAGCCTGAACCCGGCAGGAATGGCGTCTCCCCCGTGGATGCACAGACAGAGCCTTTTCCGTCATCCTTCCTCGCCTGTACACTTTTACCCCTCCCTGAAGCCGCAGGCTGCTTTCTGACATTCTATGGGGGGCAGGTTTCTTGAAGCCCTGGGCCTGTTCTGTGACCCTGGTTTTAGGATGGAAGGTTTCCTTTAGGTTTTGTGTGTTCAAGCCTGTCCTTGAATTCCTGACACCCCCCACCCCGCCCCGGACTTGTTTCACTTTCCGTGTGCTGGGATTTACAAACGCAAAGCACTGCAGCTGTAAAGATGGGGGTACTTACAGTATTCAGAGAAAACAGTCTTCCCTATGGCACCTAATCGTGCCTTCATTCACCTAGGAGCTGGGGTTAGAAACTTGGGAGTTTTAAGTGACAGAGTATCATTTAATGTGCACACTACCATGTTTTGAAGTATTTGTAACATATGTGTGTGTGTGTTTGTTTGTGTATAATAAAACATGCCTTGTTTCACACTAGTTTTTAAAGATGTAAAAAAATTGTGTATAAAGATCTGTGTCTCTGTGTGGATTTGTGCACATGAGTACAAGGTCCATATGACCAGAAGAGGGCATCAGATCCCCTGGAGCTGGAGTTAGACTGATATGGGTGAGGGGAACCGAATCTCTTGAACTTACCTAACCGTAATATATAAACTTGGACCAACACCTCTTCTCTCCCAATTCCCCCATCCACCAGTTGCTTTCGGGGAGGGGTGGATTCAATTCTTTTTTATGAGATCAAAATTTTTTAGAATGAGATCATGCTTCATTTTTCCACATGGCTTATTTCACTTAATATAATATCCTCTAAGTTCATCCATATTTTTGTAAATGATATGATTTTGTTTTTTATTGCTGAATAGAATTCCCTGTGTTCTGTTTAGCCACCTTTTTAAAATTCATTCTTAGATGAAAATTTATTTGATCCCCTCCCCCAATCTTGTCTGTCAACTATTGCTGTAATGAACATGGCAGCACAGATGCCCCTTCAGAATACTGTTTTAATTTCCTTTGGATATATACCTAGCAACAAGATTCCTGAATCACGCGATACTTCTAATTTTATCATTTTGAGGCGCCTACATGTGGTTTTCTATAACCACAGTTTAAATTTACATTTTCACTAGTGTGTAAGGGTTCCTTTTCCTCCACATGAGCCTTTCATTTTTCTGAGATACAGTCTCATATACTCCAAGCTAGTCTTGACCTCACTATATGGCTAGGTGTAGCACAAATAATAAAAACCCAGAGACAGAAATTGGGGTTCAATCTGAAAACCAAAAAAGCAAAACAACCAAGTCACTAGAGAAATCTCACCTCCACTAAGGCTGGGTGACTGCAAACTAGACAGACTCCTCTCGTTTTATATTCCCTGTAGTGCTGGAATTAAGGACACATGACTCCCTAGTGCTGGGATTAAAGGCGTAGGCCACCATCACCTGGATTTATTTTTGCACTAATCTTGTGTAGCCCAGGGTGGCCTTGAACTCACAGAGACCCCTCTGATTCTGTCTCCCAAATATTGGGATTTAAGGTGTGTGTCACCATTGCCTGACCTCTAGTGGCTTTAGCTTTGCCTTTGGTCTTCAGGCAACATTTATTTAACAAGATACAAATAATACACCATGTACAGCTAGGGCTGGCCTTAAACTTCTGATCCTCCTGCCTCCACCTTCCAAGTGCTAAGAATACTGACATATGCTACTGATCCAGGCTTTCCAAGTCAGTTTAGACGTCTGTTTTCTTGGTCCTTACAACCAATCCATCCACTCACTAATCATAATGATTTTCTTCCACAATGTGTCTCATATCTGTCTGCTTTTCACCAAGCCGGAGATGACTGCCCTCACATAGTGACTTTGATTCACTAGTTCTGGGTGGTCCTGATGTGTGCCCAGAGCATCCCACTGGTCTGGTTTTGAAGGATACATCGCCGTTACCTGGGAACACTAAAAAACCAGTCTCCTTGGCCTTGCCTTGGAGACTGGAATTCTTTCAGTGTGGGGATACGATATAGGTTTTGAAGTCTCAATGGATGGTTCAGATGTACAACCAGGCTTGAAAAACACTGTCCGGGTTCAGAAGGAAGGCCAAGCCTACTTGAGATCCTTGGGGGCTCTGAACTACAGCTCTTATCATCCAGTAGCTCTTCCTGTTGGTCTCTCTACGGCTGGATTCGTAGTCAGGACTCAGGCCATAAATCACTTCCTCAGGTAGGTCTTCCTTCTTCCTCCAATGTAAATACCCCTGTGTTTGCCACATCACCTTATGTATTTGCATCAGGAGTGTAAAGGTCATGCCCCTATCGATGTTACTGTCTGCATCTCCACCTACAACATGCACACCTTCAGCTCAGGCACCATTTTTATCTCACGGCTCTATTCTCAGCACGTCCAAGAAGTCCCTGGCACACAAAAAGTGCTTGTTATAGATGGATAAAAGAGAAGGTAGGAAAAAAAAAACCTCTTGAATTCTTATTTCTTTGGAACTAGATCTATTCAAATGTGTTCCTTTCAGTCAGATTGTAATCAAATGTGCTCTGTTATGCAAGTGGATTGAATCATCCACTAAAATGAACAAGTTGATTACTAAGTTTACTGCATTGAGCTCACTTTCCTCACAGGAACTGTATATTAATACTTGTGCAAAGCAACTAATGCCTTAATATATTTTTATATACATTTATTCACAATAATGTCGCTTCTTAGTTATCTGGGAATGACTAGGGCATATTTATTAAATGAAAAGATTTCTTAGCTTTATGTGTGTGTAGAAACATGAAGACAGGGAAAAGGAATTTGTAGAAAAGTCTTGCGGGGAGCAACAGAATTACAGGGGAACTTGCCAACCTTGAATTCTCAAGGAGGAAAGTGCTGATTCCCCTTTATTGTGGGGCACCATTTGCATTAACAGATGTGGCAGAAGTAGAGGGTTTTCACTTCAGGTGGAAGGAGAGGCTTGAGATTGTTAACGTACCTTGTTTCTCAGAAGCTAGTTTATGGAAATGTGGTAAAATCTTCAGTTGTGGGTCATATGTCGCTTGAATTCACGGAAATAGCTGAATAAAACTTGCTAAGCAGGTAGGCGAATTAAGGGCACTAAGTCACTTACCAGCCACTTCGAAATACATTATCTGTGGGAACACAACATCTGTTGCTGGGGGAAGGGGAAAAAGCTTTTCAGATTCTGACTTCTTTCAGTCAGGGGACTTATTTCCTCACAAGTATCCAACCTTCGCCGGAGGCAATAGGTTGGGTTCAAGTGCAACCAGTTTTTCAGGCAACAGACTCCCCCTTTCCCTCTTGCTCACTAAAAACAATTTTGTAATGGCTGAACTGTCACTGGCACCTCGACATAGCCTAGTAAGGAAGACAACCCATGGCACAACACAGGCTTTTTGAGAACATTAGCCAGCAGTCTTCAGAGGTGGTGACTCCAGAATACCAAAGGCACAGGGGACGGGAAAAGGAGAGCGCAAATGAGAGCGAGGAGAAACCTTGAACAGTGTTGAGGCCTGGGAATTGTAGTTCCTTGTAGGGCAGAGACCGGCAGCATGCAGGAGCTTTGCACTCCATTTCCCAGCAAGCCCCGCGCAGCGGCGGAGTCGTTGCGGAGTGGGTGCCTGGTGGAGCTGCTGCGGGGGAGTGGAGGAGCAGCGGCGGCGGCGGCCTCGGGGAGTGGTTGACATCTGGCGTCTCTGAGGGCCGAGGGGTCCTCGCAGAAGCCGCAGCCAGGGCCTTGCGGCCGCCGCGCCACCTCCACACTCACGCCTTTCTCTTCGGTGGCCGCCATGGCAGCGCGTCCGTTCGCCGCCGGCCTCTGCACGCCGTGGCCCCGGCTGCCCGGAGCGATGAGGCGGTAGTGGCGCCTCGCGGTTTTTTTTTTTTTTTTTTTTTT